CCAAGATTCCAAGACCGAAGGAAAGTGTTGGAGGCACGTAGAACCATAGGAAAAAGGAGTGAGAGTGTGCCTGATTTAGAATCTGAGGAGAGCAAAGGATTTACAGATTTAGGTTTCGTTTCCACAGAAGGAGACTTGAACTCAGAGCCTGAGATACTTCCCGGACTATGGACGTTTCTCCACCGAGAAGAACAGAGTAAGACTTGAAAATGACTAAAATATGAAGTGAGACTAACATGAAGGATTGTCTCAAATGGTTGGCTCGTTCTGTAGCTTTTAGTCTCAAATAAGATTCAATCTTCTAATGAGATTCGTTCTTATTTACTAATTCTTCGTTATCCATTGGTGGCATTCCTATACTAATATTGTCTTTGCTTTTGTAAGTGCCCGAAGTTGAACCCGGGCTCTTAAAGTTGCAAGAACACACAAATTATAAGAACTACTCTTCTTATTAGATTTAGAAACTCTCTCAAACTAAATCAATGTGTTTCTCTTGTTTCTCTTAAGGGATGCAACATCTCTGCAACTCCTTATATAGGTTGAAGCTATTTCTTGACCTAATAATAATATGGAAACATTCTTTTTCTTGATTTGTTTCCTATTTCCTTAACTTACTAAACTTTCATTTAATAAGTTTAACTTTCTCTTTAAGTTAATTGGAATTATCCAACATTTCCCACCTTAATTTCAACTTGAATCTCGGGCTTGTTGATCTCTTGAACTCCTGGTATGTGTATGTCTTCGATGTGATCATCTTCTATACATTCACGGATGAAATGGTACTTCGAGAGTATGTGTTTGTTTCTACCGTGAAACATCGTCTTCGCATCAAATTGCTTAAGCTCCATGTCATGACGCGCTACCAGCGCTAGCAAGACTTTGATGGAAGTATGTCTGGCCATTGATGAGAATATCTTATTGTAGTCTACCTCCTCTTTCTGACTGAAACTTCTTGCAACAACCCGAACTTTATACTTAACTCCTTCTGCTCATGATGCTTCATCCTTAATCTTGAAGACCCACTTAATCTATCGATTTCACACCTGCCGGCTTCTTGACGAGTTTCCAGGTCTTGATAGATATGATCTCTGCCATCATCGCATCGATCCATGCTTGTATCGATGTAGCTTCGATGTAACTTTTTGGTTTACCATCTATGGTGACCAAGAGTCTTCCGCCTTCAAATTCAGCAAGTAAGATGTAATCATCAAACCGCTTTGGTTTTATGATGTTACGGCCATATCTCTATGTTACATGCTGGTCTTGGTTTGCATCGTTATTCTCCGCTATTTGTTCTTCTTCGATTGCAGCTTCAAATTCTTCTTCGATTGCAGCTTCAATTTTTTCTTCTTATTCGTTTTCTTCATGGTTCTGGTGATCATGATTCTCAACACCATCCCCTTCTTCAACCATATTCTTAATGACTTCAAAATTTGCATGTCTAAGCCGTGTATGCCACATCCATGTAGCATCGCTTTCTTGTACCTGAAGACACTTCGAGTAGTCTTTCTCAATTGGTGTCTTGTATAAACGGTTTGGAGATCGTAAGAATTGTACTAACAATCTTCCCCATGGATCCTTAAGCATTAACAAATATCCTTTCATATTAATCTCACAACCTTCTTAGCTTCTTGTCCAAGACTTATGATATTATGCTTAAGGTTGGGATGTAATAAATGTCTTTGAGTGTTCTTATCTCTCCGGTTTTGCTTACGAACATGATCAACCCTCTGCTTACGATGTCAACATTTGATCCATCACCAAATTTGACCTTACCTTTGATGCTTTCATCAAGACTCGAGAAAAACTCTATATTCCCCGTCATATGGTTACTAGCACCATTGTCTAGATACCATATGCTTGTGTTTCCATCGCCTACATCAAACCTTCTAGGGAACACGCTCTCTTTGTTGAGGAATACAACTTCGTGCATATATAATGCATCTGCTTCTTGTGTTTTTGTTATGTTAGCTTCTTGGTCTTGTGTAGGTCGTGTAGGACATACTGATGCGAAGTGCCCCATCTTGTCACATCTCCAGCACTGTACTTTGGAATGATCCTTCTTATTCTTCTCAGAACTTCTCCTCCTTTGTTGTGACTACTAAATCTTCTGCGACCTCTATCCATGCTACCATTACCTCTACATTGTCCTCGATAATTTCTATGACTTCCACAACCTTTCGTATCATTCTTCACAGACATTAACTTTGATTAATCTTTATCTTGGGTTTCTTCTTTGATGCGCTCTTCGAAAGCTTTTAATCTCTCAATAGTATATTTTAAGAATTTTTTCACTAGTTTCAGTTCTTCAATAACCTCCTTTACACGATTAGCTTCAAGGTGTCGTGACTTGATTGCATTACAGATATCTCTTGATGCGGTTTGATCTCCCACCTGGAGAATCAAAGTTTTAGGAACATATTGAAACAAAAGAGCAGTCGCCACATCGTTCTTCTTTTGATCATCCGAACTGGGTTCGATTGTGTCTCACACTTCATGAACAGGTAGTAACACCTTCATTGGATGAATGTGAATCCAAAGTCCTTTGTGCGTGGAGTTTTATTCACGCCAGCCATCTTGCCTTTGAGATGTCTGCCTCACAGTCACCAGGATCTTCGCTTCAACTTAAGCTTAGATTGAAGCTTCAACTTAAGCTCTGATACCAATTAAAGTTGCAAGAACACATAAATTGTAAGAAATACTCTTCTTATTAGATTTAGAAACTCTCTCAAAACTAAATTTATGTGTTTCTCTTAAATGATGCAACATCTTTGCAGCATCTCTGCAACTCTTTATATAGGTCCAAACTACTTCTTGACCTAATAATAATATGAACACATGTTTTTTCTTGATTTGTTTTCTATTTCCTTAACTTATTAAACTTCCATTTAATAAGTTAACTTTCTAAGTTAATTGGAATTACCCAACGACTCTCATGTGAGAGCCGACTATCCTGACCAACTAGACTACAACGAAGCCGATTGTGACATACAACTAGTGACGGCTCAACATAGTAAAATTTATTTATTGCCCTAAACCAAAATGGGAAAATTGTCATTTAAATATCGAACTTTCAAATTTGGTTGAAAAAAAAACATGAACTTTCTCTTGGAGCATTTAAAGCACCAACTTAGTTTGAATAGCCATTTTAAACCTCAATTTAGTTTGACTAAACCAAATCGAACACGACGTTAACTCGGGTAACGGATCGATTAGACGGAGTTAATCACCGTCTCTAATTTTCGTTAAGTCATCTAAACGGCGTCGTTTTAAAATTTTTGAAAAATATGCAACCGGAGGGAATCGAACCCGAGACCCAAAGCAAACTCACTCCAAGACAAAACCACTAGGCCACTTGCGCTTTTTGTAACTTAAATGAATACTAATAGATTTATTATGAACCATCCAAATCATTTTCCCACCCTAAATCCCTAAATATTAAAACTTATAAATAACTTAATAATTAAAAAATCGTAAATATTAGTAAAAATATTAAAACTTATAATAATTATTAAGTTAATTAATAAGAAATATTAAAAATATTAAATAAAATTTTTTTAATCATTAAGTATTATTGAATATTCAAATTTTCATTCTTATACTTAATAATTAATTATTCAATAATACTTAATGACTAAAAAAAATTTATTTTAATACTTCTTAATTATTGAGTATTATTAAATAATTAATTATTAAGTATAAGAATGAAAATTTGAATATTCAATAATACTTAATGATTAAAAAATTGTTATTTAATATTTTTAATACTTCTTATAAATAACTTAATAATTATTATAATTTTTAATATTTTTACTAATATTTACGATTTTTAATTATTAAGTTATTTATAATTTTCAATATTTAGGGATTTAGGGTGGGAGAAAATGATTTGGATGGTTCATAATAAATCTATTTGTATTCATTTAAGTTACAAAGAGTGCAAGTGGTCTAGTGGTTTTGTCTTGGAGTGAGTTTGTCTTTGGATTTCGGGTTCGATTCCCTCCGGTTGCATATTTTTAAAAATTTTAAAACGACGTCGTTTAGACAACTTAACGGAAATTAGAGACGGTGATTAACTCTGTCTAATCGATCCGTTACCCGAGTTAACGTCGTGTTTGATTTGGTTTAGTCAAACTAAATTGAGGTTTAAAATGGATATTCAAACTAAGTTGGTGCTTTAAATGGTCCAAGAGAAAGTTCATGTTTTTTTTCAACCAAATTTGAAAGTTCGTGATTTAAATGACAATTTTCCCAAACCAAAATGATAAAATACATGTTTATATAGCAACAATAAACAATGAAAACATGGAATTTATTTGAATACAATCTAGGTGTCTTGATCAGCCGTTTCTGTAAGGACTCAATAATATTATTTAATACAAAAGAAAAATAGAGCAAATATTGCATCACGTGATTCTCGGATCCATGCTTAAAAATAAAATGGGGTTGAAATGAAAAAAAATTATAACAATATAGGGGGAGCTTCTTGAGATTCCTGACAGATTTCTTCGATTTAGGTATTTAATTTATTAAAGTTTTAAACACACGCAAATAAAACACAAAAGGAAAAGTCATGGAGATCGGCAACGACCGAGGAACTAGAAAGCAGAAGAACAGAAGCTTTCTGTTCTTGTTCAATTTGTTGTCATGCAGCTATCGCCATACCTAATTATCTTCATTGAGGTTTACGTCGTAGCTCTTCTCATCCCAATACTAATTTATTTATAGAAATCATTTAAAGTTATTTACCCTATTTGCTGCCTTGCGTTTTACTCTTTCCTTTTAAAAATTCAGACATTTCTCAACAAACTCTTCTAACTTCACTTAGAATTAATATGTTCTGTTTTTGTATTTCTCCAGACTTTTAGTAATACCAGTTTTTTCATATTTTATTGTTAGAAATTTCTGGCTACATTGGTTCTTAATCTAGCTCTGTTCCAGATTGTTATTACCATTACATAGTTTATGAGCTAAGAGAGAGAGAGAGAGAGATAAGATCAATGGGGAAACAAGGATCACCGAGAAGCCCTCGACCTGAAACGAGAGATAAAGAAGAGAAGAGTGGGAGAAGAAGTTTGGATTCTTTAACAGGAAATGATCTCTTGATTGGTAGAAGAATATTTGGAAGTGAAGCATCCAAGAATCAAGGATCTAAACATGATGAAAGCTGTGGCAGTAGCAACAAGCTCAGTTACTCTTGGAAGCAGCAACATTCATGGTTTCGTAGGAACTTCAAGTCGGTTCTTGTGATGATCTCGGTCACCGGTTTAATATTTTTTATGGATTCCGTTATGGTTACCATTTTTCATTCGGATAGGACCCCCGCGGTGCAGGACATTTCAAGGTTGAGCAATTTAACTGACCATAAGGTTTGTTATAAAATCTTCTTTCATTATTATTCATATTTTTCCATTGGTATTGATTATGATTATGTCAACGAAGAATGGCGCTCAAGAGGCTTCACCGGTGCAAATGTATAGCCGTCTACTAAACTTAGCTTCAAGTTCTCTTGCAAAGGTTAGTGAAAACTTATAAGATTATGTTTTTCTAGATATTTTTATGCGTTTTTGAATCGTTAGTAATCTTGTTTTCCCTTGTGCTACAAGAATGTATTCAAACCCGATACACCGAATTTCCGGGAGGAAAGATCTTCAAAGTCATCACAGTGGAAGCCTTGTGCTGATAGTAACAAAACATCTATGGCATTAGAGAGGTCTAGTGAAATGAACAATGGTCACATTATGGTTAGTGCAAACGGTGGACTTAATCAGCAGCGCGTGGCTGTAAGTATATACCAAACTTATCAATAACGATCTTTGATTCATCAAGAAGATATGTATGTATATTGATTATGCTAGTTTCTTGCAGATTTGTAATGCTGTTGCGGTTGCTGCTCTACTTAACGCCACTCTAGTGCTTCCTAGATTTCTTTACAGCAACGTTTGGAAAGATCCTAGGTATTACAACCTCCCCAAGACTTGGATTTATAAGAAAAATATATAGTGTTATGTTGATTTCTGATGAAATGCGTAAATTGTAGCCAATTTGGTGATATATACCAGGAGGAACGTTTCATCCAGTATCTGAAAGATGAAGTGCATATAGTGAAGGATCTTCCTCAACATCTAAAGGCTATTGATAACAAGAATCTCAGCTTGGTGTGTTCTTTTTGCATTCTCTCTTTCTCTCTCTCTTTTTTTTATACGGTCTAGTTTGTTGGAGTTGAAAACTCATAATGTTTTGTTTATATTGTTCATAGGTTACTGATGCAGAGCTTGTAAAAGAGGCAAAGCCAGATGATTACATCAAACATGTTCTTCCTTTGTTAAAGAAGTATGGAATGGTTCATCTTTTTGGATATGGGAATCGCCTCGGTTTTGATCCTTTGCCTTTTGATGTTCAGGTGCACAAATATATAAGAGGATGCATAACTAGTCAGTTTCGTTCCTGGAAATGATGTTTTTTGTTTGTTTAATCTTTTATAGAGATTACGATGTAAGTGCAACTTTCACGCGTTGAAGTTCGCTCCCAAGATTCAAGAAGCCGGCTCTCTGCTAGTGAAACGGATAAGAAGATATGAAACTTCGCGGAGTAAATTGGATGAAGCATTGCTTGGTGAATCCTTGGTGAAATATTCAGCTAGAGAAGATCAAGAACCATTGAAGTATCTTGCTTTACATCTAAGGTTTGAAGAGGACATGGTTGCTTACTCTCTATGTGATTTTGGTGGAGGAGAAATGGAACGCGAAGAGCTTCAAGCGTACCGAGAAAATCATTTCCCTCTTCTCCTCGAACGTTTGAAGGAATCAAAGTAATAAACTATACAACATTTCCCACTTCAATGGTTTATAAAATGACTTTTCTGTCTCTGTCTTGTCAGGTCTGTCTCTCCAAAAGAGTTGAGGAAAACAGGAAGGTGTCCATTAACACCAGAGGAAGCAACTCTAGTTCTTGCTGGTCTTGGATTCAACAGAGGAACATACATATACTTAGCTGGATCTCAAATCTATGGAGGTTCTTCTCGTATGCTTCCTTTAACAACTCTTTACCCCAATCTTGTGACTAAAGAGACTCTCTTTACACCACAAGAACTTGCACCATTCAAGAACTTCTCTTCTCAGGTAGGCATACAAAACGAACTCTGTACCCATATGTCCGTAAGGGCCTTTCTCGGTTCTTGCTCAAGTTTCCATTACAATGTTTTCAACTATGTTTTGCAGCTAGCTGCCCTGGATTTCATAGCTTGTGCTGCTTCAGATGTGTTTGCAATGACTGATTCCGGGAGTCAATTATCGTCCTTAGTCTCTGGATTTAGAACATACTATGGGGACGGTCACGCGGCAACATTGAGACCTAACAAGAAGAGGCTTGCAGCGATCTTATCAGAGAGTGAAACAATAAAGTGGAAGACTTTTGAAAACCGTGTGAGGAAAATGATAGAGGAAAGTCGCAAAGTTCGTCTTAGGCCTTATGGACGCAGTATCTATAGACAACCGAAATGCCCAGAGTGTATGTGTAAATTTTGATTCTTGAAACTTTAAAACAGTATTGTTCTGAAAATTTTGATGTCTCGTTAGTACACAATAGAATAAAGACACTGTATATCATTGATTCTAGGTTTGTAATCACTATGAAACATTGAAAGATTTTGAACTAGCACCTCTTTAGAATCTCTTACTATGTCTCAACTTCTTCTCTCCAGTTTCCTCTCTGAAGATTTTCTTCCTTCCACCTCTCGCCTCCGTTGTTGCCTGTATGATTGAGACAAAACAACATGACATGATGAAAAATGTAAAACGAAAGTGTCTCAAAGATGTGTTCCTAGAGACATTACAAAAACCGGACAATCAGATCATGACTCTAAGATTCCATAATTTTATGAAGCAAACAATAGAAAACACTACAACTTACGCGAAAGCTGAGTATCCAGAACCAGCACTTGCACTAGATACAGGAGCTGCATTAGTTCCAGCTGCTAGAGGTGGATTCTTCACATCCCCATCAACCTGATTCAACAAAAACGAAGTAAACATGCCAGAATCTTCGGGTAATCTCTTTCTAGACACTTGATCTGATAAAAATACCTTATCCCATTTGGACTTCTTATTCGGTCTACCATCACGAGCAGCGATATCAGTTGGTACGGAGGGCAATCCAGTAGTAGCTAACGCTGGAACACCTGAGATTAATCAAATACCGAAAATCCATCAAATCTTGCAGAGATGTATCTGAAATATATAAAGAACCAAACTGACACTACTCTAACTCCCTGAGACTTAAACACACCTGGGATAGGGATGTTAGGCTTTGGAGCAGGGAATACCGTCCCAGGTTGAGTCCCAACAGAAACAAAGTCAAGCCTTTGGTTCTTCTTGCTTTCTTGTTCCTTCCTTTCTCTATCATACTTCATGTCAAGTTCTGTAGTTAACACATAAAAAAGATCACTATATATTGTAACACATGTACAACGCAGAAAATGGTTAAAACTAGCAACTAGCGATCCAAAGGAGTGTATGATACTGAAATGGTAAAAAAAACATGGAACAAGATATCAAACGATGCTACTTACTGAGACAAAAGTCAAAACAATAGAAGAAATATATGCAACATACTCTTGAGATAAGACATTAGAAAGTGAAGTGTTACCTATTGCATCACAGAAGTCACTGGGGTCATATCCATTGGGGTCAAAAACGTCTTTACTGAAGCAAGAACCAGTCTGATCAATATCTTGATAACTCACAGCATGCAACAAGAAGTCAGGATTCCTATACTCCTTTCTATTCCGCACTTCATTATTAAAACTCTTCCCCATCTTCTTCAAGCTCAGAAACTTATCTATTTTCCTCTACAATTACATGCACAAACTTGTCAAGCTAAACCCCTAAACATGTATCAGACCCAAATCAAAAACTAAACAGACCTTAGAGAAAATGCCATCTCTAACAAACAAAAAAAGAGATCCAAACAACACACTAAAAAGTTCTTGCCTTGCCTACATTCATGTCAATAAAACTTCCAATCTAGTGTACAAATCATAGCTAGAAGAACTAAGAGACATCAAATCAAACAAGACAGCAACTAGTTCTTGCTAACATTCATGTCTCTAAACACAGAAAAGTATAAACATGATTGTTGAATTATTATAACATTGAAGCAGAGCTTACTTGCAGCTCCTCGGAGCATTTCTCTTTGGGTGGAGGAGGAAGGAACTGATCCAACAACGAATCACCACTTTCCCCTGACGTATCATCTGCTCTCTCACCATCCCCAACCCCAGACTCGATGATATTCATACGACTACTCCAATCGTCGTTGTTGTCGAGAGAACGAGGCGTGGCGTGAGCGCTGGAAGCTCCACCATCGATGACCTTAGGCGTTCTAGAATCTTCTTCTCCTCTTCCTCTCTCTTCGTCCATGAAATTATCTTCTTCTAGCCGAAGCTCTTCAGTACGTTCGACTTGTTCCTGGTTTCTCTGCTCTTCTTCCTCGGCGTCTTCCATCTCTTCGTCATCCTCGTCACTGTAGACGGAGAGTAAAGCGATTCCTTCTGAGTGCTTCTTCTTCGACGCCATGATAAATTGCTCAGGTCAATTCGAGAGGGAGATCGCCGGAATTTGAATCCGATTGATCAGATTTGGGGGGTGGGGGAACAGAAAAGATGAACGGTGAACCTAATAGGGTTCGTCCTAAATTGAAATCGCAACCCGAACTTTAGATCCACCGAATTCAAAAACCAATGTTATGTCACTCTACTGAAACGACGTGGTTTCACAAATAGCACAGTTTACTAAATGAATTGGACTGGACTCACATAGATATGAAAAAAACCCATGACTGAAGTTAATTATGTTAAATCTAAGGCCCATTTAATAGGATTTATTATTAAAGTGAACCACTTCAATTAGGTCTCGTCATTTCAAGTATCGGTTTGGTTTAGGTCGGTATTTCAATTATCGGATAGTTTGGGTAGGGGTTTAGAAGATTCATTTACTACTTGACATTTTTTCATTCCGGTTCGCTTTGGACAGTTTCAAGGTCGGTTGGTTCAGCTAGTAAAATTAGAAACAAAAAAAAATGATTCTCATTTGGTTCCAATTCTGGTTTGGTTAGTTTGGATAGTTAGTGTTAAATATTAGGTATTTTGAGTAATATAGTAAATAATTACCATAATGAAATCTCTAATAGTTTGGATTACTCTGGATATTTAGGATAAAAATATCTTTATGCTTTCAAATAATTTGGATACTTTATAATAATTTAGTTTTTAAAACCATTTTCAAATACTTTTAACAAGTTATATATTCAAATATCCGTTTGGTTCTAGTTCAGTTATTTTGGATATAAAAATATATAACTATTTAGATATTTGAGAGTTCAGTTATTTCGGATATAAAAATATATAAACTATTTAGATATTTGAGAGTTTTGGTCCGATTCCGGTTACGGGTATTTCAGTTCGGTTCTTTCGTTTCAGTTTTTTTGTCCAGGCCTAGCTTCAATTATCAAGTGAAAAAACTTAGAATGGTTTGGTTTACAACTTTCGAATTCATAGACTAATGGCTTTGGTGCTAAGAATGGCTGAACCAAAGTGACTAGTTAGTGAGAAATAGCCTTTAATGCACATCTATATTATTAAAACTGAAGTACCTTTTGGTACTGTTTGGAAACAAGGATAGCAATAATAATATGAAGTAAGTTTGGAAACATTAATAGCAGTATCTTTTAATATTTCTTTTTATTTACCTATTTAGCCATTATATTTGCAATAAATTAAATCTTTCCTTTTGTATTTTATTTTATTTACAGATTCTAGCACTACATTTAAAAGCAATTTAAACTAACTAATTACAATTATAAAGTTCGTGGTATTATTGATAATATAAGAATATCAATTACAACATAGTATATATTATATAAACAATTTTTAAATATAGTATTACTTCATTTAGTTTAATCAAATAAAAAATCTGAGAGTTCAATTTTAAGAGAATAAGATATTACAAAGTTTTAAAAGCAATTTAAACTAACTAATTACAATTATAAAGTTTGTGGTATTATTGATTATATAAGAATATCAATCACAACATAGTATGTATTATATATACAATTTTTAAATATAGTATTACTTCATTTAATTTAATCAAATAAAAAAAATCCGAGAGTTCAATTTTAAGAAAATAAGATATTATAAAGTTAATACTAATTCATAGAAAATTAATGCAAAAAATTATTATTTAATTTTAAAATAAATTAACAAAGAAATAACAGATTAATATATGATTCGTACAATTACATCAATTTATAAAATTCTTAATATAATATTATGTAAAAATAAAAAAAAGTATTTTCAAACATCTATATTTTAAAGTAATATATTTTATTTTATATGTAAATTATAAAACATAAAAATATACAAGACTTTATTTTATAAAATCATCAGTTATGAATTTACGTTGAACACAAGTTAAATCAAACACCCGCGCGGGGGCGCGGGTCCGTATCTAGTCTATCTTATTAAAGTTGTAGTACTCTTTAGGTTTGTTTGGAAACTTAAATAGTAGTAATAAAGAGTTTAATGTTGTTTGGCTATAAGTTTAATAGAGTTGGGCTTTTAAACATTGTTATAATAGAATTGGGCTTTTGTTTAATTTTTTTTTTTTGGCTTTAATCATTTGGCCCATTGTAGTAATTTGTGTTTTTAGTTTATATTTTATATAAAGACTATATTCAATTTTATTTATTGTTCACTAAATTAAAAATAACATCAGTTTTTAAGATAATAAAAATTTACATTTCAAATAATTTAATACTCAAATATATTTTATCTAAAATATTTTACATTATTCAAATTATCATAAAGACACAAAATATTTAAATAGTTTTAACTAAAATATTAAAATTTTGTTTTCGTAACTGGATATTTATCCGAAACACCTATCCCCCCCCCCAAATCAGTTTTACCCCGATTAATATAAAATTAATCCTAGAAATCGTAACCAAACCGTTATCATATTAGAACCAAAAATTTATCTGATATTAATCGGTTATTATAATTATTACCAAACTCAGCTCAAACCAAAAGAATCGAACCGGACGCAAATCAATTTATATAGATAACAGAATAGATCTTATATCTGTAGAACTAAAAAAACTACGAACATAAAGAATCCAACAAAAGTTGAACCCAAAATCAAACTCCAGTCCTATTACATTCAATACGATCATAGTTTTTGAAATACGGTAATAACCGATGACTTATGAATATATTATACTTTTCCAAATTAAGTTAAATCCGCGCCGGTGCGCGGATCAAGATCTAGTTTGATATTACAAAATTTAGTTTAGACAGGACCGTATATGGAGCAAAATACGCAGACAGAACGGCCAAGTCTTACAATTCATCTCTACCATTTTAAACTGACCAGATTCCAAATCTAACAACTTTATTATTTTATTTTTAAAACAACTTTGTTCGGTAATATTTATGGTTTCGAATCGGATTTATATTTCGAACGTTATGCAACCAAAATCTCTTCTACACCTACTAAGCAAAGTAAAAAACAAATTGAAGTGTTCTAACATTAAGCAGCGCAGCGATCTACGAAACAAAGAAATCAGGTCGTCCACAGAAACACATACAAAACAAAAGATATCAGTTCTGGTCTTGAGCTTCTGCAGCCTCCTTCTCCTCATTGGCCGCAGCCATTAACTCATCAAATTTGGCAGACTTGGCGAGCGTTATCTCAATCTGCAAGTCGTATAAGCCACAAGATTTAGCCAACAACATAGCAGTTTCACAGAAGAATAATCATGGAACTCAACTTTGATATCTACCACAAAAACTAAGCAAAAGGAAACGATATTATTCAGAAAATCTAACCTTGGCTTTCTGCACAGGACGTCCTCTTGAATCGTCCTTGATATCCACTGTCTTAGTCATGATCTCTACAAGACGAAACAATAAGCAAAACTTAGTCGCAGAATCTTTGGAAAAAAAAAACAACTTTGCTAATTAAAGATCTTCTTACTCTTTTCAACAGCAAAACCATTGTTCTTCAATATTTCCGCTACGGTAACAACAGTAGCAATGGCTGCACAGTTCAAAAAATATTCAATAAGAAACAGAATAATATTTTCAAATAAAACAAGTTCAGATTCTAAATCTCTTGACAATAAATGGAAAATTGCTATTATGGAAACAAAGTTTGAGTTTAATAAACTCAGTTACATTGCTTAAAAACGAAACATTATATTTTGATATACAGAGAGATCATTAAAGAGAGAAGCAAATAACATTACCCATTCCAAGTGCAGACAACTCCACATCTGTGTACTGCTGCATGTACCTCTGTTAATGTCAACAACATAAACATGTTTTAATAGAGAGATAAGAGTCACATAACAACACAGAGAGCACCACCAGTAACACACATTCAAATATTACAATGACACAATAGCAACAGTTGGAGTTCATAAGGTTTCAAGCTAAAACTGCAATCGATATTTTGAAGGGGGGTTTAGTACCTTGGCGAGATTGACGTAGAAGAACAATGGTTTCTTAGTGTTGGAAACCTGAATCCGATTCTTCTTCTGGTTATCAACCTCCAAGCCCATGCTGTTTACTCCTTCTGTGATCCCTTCCATTGAATCTAACTCGCGAAATCAACACTTGGTCCTCTTTTCTCTCTTACTCTCTGTCTCACAAACTGATAGAAAGAGCGATAAAGCTTTCTCCCTGTGAACCAAACCCCACAAAACCCTAACTCGAAAAACTAAACGACACCGTTCGGAAAATAAATTTGAGCCGTGTTAAGGGCCCAAACGGCCCAATAATTAGAAACAATAATTATCCGTTGAGCTCGTCGACACTCTTTCACTCGCCGGGGAAGCCATGCCGGTGCTCAAGGCGCCGTTCAACGGCTACTCAGTGAAATTCAGCCCTTTCTACGAATCCCGCCTCGCCGTTGTCACAGCTTAGAACTTGGAAACGGCCGTATCCACGTCCTTGAGCTCTCTCCCGGCGTCACGGAATCCACCGCCTTCGATACAGCCGACGCAGTCTACGACGTCTGCTGGTCAGAACAAGCGCGTGAAGTCCCTCAAAACACGATCGGATCGTTGCAAGTCCCCTCCCCCAGGCGCCGTGATAATTTCCTAACCGCGTTGTGGGACGATACGGTGAAGCTGTGGGCCATGGATCGTCCTGCACGCGGGTTTGGAACCCTAAGAATGGAGGAGTTTGATTGCTTCTTGCACTTATGATAAGAGTGTTTGTCTTTGGGAGTATATGGTGGAGGATGCTTTGGTGGGGCGGTATGATCGTCATACGGAGTTTATGAGTGTTCTTGTGATGGCGAGTACTGGTTGGGATGAGCTTGTTTATGTTTGGCAGCACTCAGCAGGGGATGATGGATCCAAGAGCTGAGTTGAAACAAGTTTAAGTCTGTGAGTTTCCTTGGAAAAATAATGAAGTTGGGGATCTCCATGTAATTGATCGAAAATTCATACATAGATGAACAAGGTTTTCTTTTACGTTTGTGGTTGATGACAATGAAAAGAACTTGATCTTGTTCTAGTGTTATAAATAGAGAGAGAGAGAGATTCTTCAAAGTACACATAACTTGCTCTAATGAGCAATGATTTACACAAGAGGTTATTTAAGAGTTTGAGGTATCAAAAGCGCTTACTCGTCGAGCCAATCCAAGCTGAACAAGCTCTCAGCGACTTCGATGCAAAAGACAGACAGACAATCAACTTAAGAGTTACAGTCATTGTAAAACTGTTTTCATTGACTTTTCACTTCACTTTCCCGAGTTCATTGGAGCTCAATAGCTCTCGTAGTTTGTTTCTCACATACCATACTTCCTAAAGTTTATTATGACACTTTTCAATAGCTCAATTTTGTATTTGACATTGTTAGTAATCATCGTCTATTTTGTGTCACAGGTGAACAAAAACGATATAGGGAATGAAATAGCAGAGCAAGACAATTATAATTTTTTTTATTTGGAGATTTTATAAAAGTTTAGGGATTAGAGATTTAAGAGAAGATCATATTCGGTAAAATGATGATGTGTGGATACTTGACGGTGTTAAGTCTGATTTACATGTTGAGTTTTAAGGTGATCAAAATTGTCTGTTCAAATAAAGTTTAGGATTTATGTGGAAGAAGTTTAAAAATATGAGATTAAATTGGCTCTTTATGAACTGAGGATGTATTTGGTGTGGATGTAAGAGTTGAGGATTTAATTGACATTTTCCTCCAGATATAACCAAGCTACACATTTTTTTTTAATTATAAATTTTATTCAATCCGAAAAAACGAGAATTTAGATCTAAAATACAACCCCGGTTCGAATAAAATATTCCAAGTTAATGTATTAAAAAGTAGCTCTGTCCACCCTCTAAATTCGGAACAGCTAATCCGTTTTTAAAATTTTAGAAAAATCGATTACCGTTCTCAACCATCAACGATAACCACATAGAAAAGTAAAGTTTTCTATGTTGTTTTGGATGCCAGGAGTTCCTATGTTATCTTCGAAATAGCTGCCGCTTGATAAACTCGTCAACGTTACAAGCCACACAATTATTTATTTATACAAGCTTACATAAAGTTTGTTTATAATCTTCATACCATTAAATCAACATGTACTGCTAGAGCTGGCATCTTCAGTATTCTACTTTACCTTTGGGAGTTGGCTTCACAAAGCAAAGACAGGTTTGAATCTAGTGGCGAAATTTAGAAATTATTTTTATACATGACAAAAAAGAAATTTACTAACATAAATATAATATATAAACAAGGTAATCAATGAAACTTCTAAAGAAATAAATTGAAATTTAAAAAGTTATGGTGTAGAACTTATAATTTGGAGACATATATATTGTATATGATCCATTAAATAATTTGTTTTGCTGATTGCATAATATTATTTTCAATGTAGTTTGTTGCTTATATTTTTTAGACATTCTTTTGGCAATCCAAAAACATTAGTTTATCCATCTGTTGGTATTAAGTCAAGGTAAATATTTGGTGTAATGCATATAATAGTTAATTTATATGTGTTACTAAAACATTAATGTGAGTAAAAATCTTAAGGGAAAATTCCATATAAAGAATTATAGATGTCATTCTATTTGAAATTTGATAAAATAAAATATATATTTTGCTACTTAAACACATATTCTTGTAGCAGTCTGATTTTTCTTTTCTTATTTATATTACCATTTTCTCTACTTTTTATTTTTAAATTACACAACTAGTAAATAATGGTTCGTGTTTTAACCAATTCAATCAATCTCTTAGATTATTATATTCTGCTTCTTCATTTTTTTCTCGAATGTGCAACAAACCGATAAAATAAACCATAGAATTATTATGAATTTAACATAATACTAGGTGACCGATCCGCACCCTATGCGGGTATATACAAATTCAAATTATGGACTTAATAATACAAAGTTTTAGAAGTAATAGATTTTATATCATAAGACCACCGTCTTTGAGGTAAAGCATCAGGCACAGAAAAATGATGGTACACAATATTTTACATGGAGGAGATGGAACAAAGTAACTTCGGTATCAATAGGTAGTTATTGTGTGTATTTATAATTGCAACATCACAAAAAAAAATTGTGTGTTGAAGGTTAAATTTTATTTTCCAAATCTGAAATTAATAGTGTGTAGTTTTATAAGTAACATATTTTCTATTATCACTAATTAGAATTGTATTGTATATGTGTTGTAATTCTTTATTTTAGGTGAAAAATATTATTATTCATAAATTTTTCGTAAAA